CATTTTTCTTCTTAATGTTCCTTGCTCTCAATTGCATGCTTTTAAAGGAGGAAAGCGTTAACTTTCTGTCACCAAGGCAGGAAGGTTGGCGGCGGGGGGGGGACACTTTATTTTGCATTTATTCCAAATTTAATTTGAATGTAGTGAAAATGCCAAAAGAAAATACCGGTAAGTTATAAAAACTCTGGTTCTATGCATGTTTATTTATTTGTTTAATACACAGGTTGCTTGCCTCTCTTACAACTCTGAGCATCTTATAGCAGCAGCAATAGCACTTAGGACCAATATACTGCTTTACAGCCTTCTCTAAGTGGTTTACAAAGTCTGCATATTGTGCCCCAACAATCCTCATTTTGCCCACCCCAAAAGAATGAAAGACTGAGTCAACTTTGAGCCTGGTGAGATTTGATCTGCCAAATTGCAGTCGGCTAGCAGTTAGCAGAAGTAGCCTGCATTTTAACCATCATGGCTCTTGATGATGGTTACCTCATTTTAAAATTGCTTTTAATTTGATAAAATTAATGGTCTATTTTGGAACACACATGAAGAGAGTCTTTCCCTAAGAAACTGGGATCAGCACAGATAAGGAAGTGATTCAGCCAGTGCTGTCCCATTCCTGATTTTGTCCCCTAGAAGAGCAAGATTGACTCTCATGCATGGGGGGAGGGGGCCTGTAGGATACCTTGAAGATGGGAAATTCAGGAATCTTCTTGAAATTTCCTGGGATCAGCAATCAGTGTCAGGAATGTAGCTATCCAGAAATCAATTAATGTTCCTGTAAGTCCCCAGTGTTTTTAAAAAAACTTGACAGCTTTAATATGGACTGCTGGCTGAGGAATTCTGGGAGTTGAAGTCAACACAGCTATTTTATTTTATTCTATTTCATTAAATGTATATGTCACTCATCTCACTGTTGAAGTGACTCTGGGCAGCTTAAAGTTGCCAACTTGCCATGTTGGAAAAATATTGCCCTAAATCAAACATTGCATCTGGGGGATGTAGTTATCAAAAGCAGCTGTCAGCATTATAAGGATTCTTGCTTCTGATGGCTAGAGTTTGTGGCAGATACCAAATTTACCCTTATCTTCCCATAAGACCCTGCAACAGAGCTTCTTTACCTTTTAATAAATATATTAAAGAAGAACAACAACAGTAATACAAAAACCATTTGACCTCCGTGTCCACATCCTTCTATTTGCCAGGTGGCTAATAGAATTGTAATAAAATCATGCCACTCCCGTAATAACTAAATTCCTCTAAACAAATATTTAGTAGAGGGAGCCACACAACAAAAGGAGGATGTCACCAGAATTAATACATGAATAAATAAAAATACACTTTGTTAGAGATAGTATGGATTGCATTCTGTTCCTTTTTGTTGTGCCCAACATAAGAACAATTTTCTTCATAAACAGAACTAAATCGTTTGAGGTCTGGTGTATTTTTCCCCCCTCCCAGGGGAAGGAAAGCAAAATGATCAGATTGGTTCATCCAAACAGGATTTTTGAGAGTTTAAACCTTTAAAAAAGGGTTTTTTTTCTTTTTAATTCAGCAATATTTCTAATTCTGGATAACTTTTTCCTAAAAATACAAGTCTATATCAGGAGGTTGACACCATCTTATTCCCGTCTATATGAAATGACTGTTAGTAGTCTGGAACTTTGGATGCTAAAACTGGGATATCCAACTCTTTTGCTTCTCACCATCTAGTTTCTAGGAAACAATTAGTGCCCTTGAATGTTGCCTAAATTTGATAATGAGGTAAATGAGGGAAAAGAAGCCGAAATTAATCCCGTTAACAAAAACATGCTGTTGCTAAGGAGAAAAAATGCATTTGAGAATTGAAGTGGAAAATGTTTGGCATAGTTCTGCAATCCCACAGAAAAAGAATGTTTACATTCTGGAAGTACTCCTTGACCCTCAAGTGTCACCTAATTTGCAGGATAAACTGGTGAGACATTGCTTCTCATAGTTATGTCTAGTGTTATTGGCTTCATCACTTTCTAAGCAAATTGGATTTAATAGCTGCCCATGCTTTCTTTGGTTGAATCCTATCTTGATAAATGTGATGGGCTGTATATGAGAGCATCAGAGGAGCATCATTCAGCCAGTTCTGACCCGTTCTGGAGAACTGGTAGTGGAAATTTTGAGTAGTTCAGAGAACCGGCATATACCACCTCTGGCTGGCTCCGCCCCCATCTATTTGCTGCTTCCCGAGTCCCAGCTAGGTGGCTGGGTCTTTTTCTGCTGCCCTGCACAGGAGAACAGAGCTGGAAAGCAGGTTAGTGGGGTGAGGAGGGAATTACAGTATCATGCCCTGGAGTGGGGTGGAAATGGAGATTTTACAGTAGAAGATGTAGGAAATCTATAAACCCTTTTCTATAAACCTTTCTCTAAAAAGGCAGGTCATAACTCAAATTTCCAGATACATACATTCATTGCAGCAACAGAGGTGCATAAAACACACAAGACACACATAAAAAAAAACCTTACAAATTTTCTCAGGTAACCTCACCCTTTCCAATGCCAAATGTATAAAGTGTCCAAAGGACTCCCTACTGCAATAAAGCGACTGAAATATTGTAATAACGTGACTGAAATCCCTATCCAGTATAAGGGATGTAAAAGTTGGGATAGGATGACTTTCCTCTGGCTGTCTAAAGATTTTATTGCCAGAAGATTTTTTTTTTAAAGAGAGGCAAAGGATCTACTTTATAGGGCACCCTACTTCAGAGTGGAACAAACTAGCTTGCAGGCCATCAATTCCCATTTTGCAGACCAAAGAAAGTTCCTAGATTTGGCCACCAAAATTTGGTGGTAAAAGCATGCATTTTTGGCAGTCTTTTGTTTGGAGCCTCATCAGCTGCAACATGATAGGGAAAATCTTGGAATATTTTGTACTCTATATTTGGTGGCTGCCTGCATTTGCCACCGCCATGGCCCTTCCGGACGCCCCTCCCCCCCGCTGTTTGATTCAGCCTTTACACCAACGCTGCCACCTTTTCCTTTTCCTTCCGTTTTTTGCTTGACTGGACCTCTTCCCTGGGTGAGTTTCTCCTTCAGCCCATCATCGCTGCTGTGGAGCCTTTTTCTACCCCCNAAAATGATTACAGTAAACGGTTTTCCCACACATTGGCAAGGCCCTCAAGATAGTAATACAATAAAGACATTGCCTAGTTTCAGAAGAGAAAGGAGAACACAACAAAAGGGGGAAAGGGACGGGGAGAGAAAAGGAAAACCAATTGGTCAGAAAGTTGCAATCAAGCAGCTGGGAGTCTGGGAGAACACTGGTGCTGAAATTGTCAGTTCTTACTGGTCAAAAAGATTGCCTCTCCTCAAAGACATCCCACCTCATAAACTCTACTGGCTACTGCTACACTCGTCAACAAACACTAATTGAAGATATTGGATGCATTTGTGCTTTAGAATAGAATAGAATAACAGAGTTGGAAGGGACCTTGGAGGTCTTCTAGTCCAACCCCCTGCTTAGGCAGGAAACCCTATTTCAGACAAATGGCTATCCAACATCTTCTTAAAGACTTCCAGTGTTGGGGCATTCACAACTTCTGGAGACAAGTTGTTCCGCTGAGTAATTGTTCTAACTGTCAGGAAATTTCTCCTCAGTTCTAAGTTGCTTCTCTCCTTGATTAGTTTCCACCCATTGCTTCTTGATCTACCCTCAGGTACTTTGAAGAATAGCTTGACTTCCTCTTTTTTATGGCAGCCCCTGAGATATTGGAACACTGTTATCATGTCTCCCCCTAGTCCTTATTTTCATTAAACTAGACCTAGCCATTTCCTGCAACCGTTCTTCATATGTGTTAGACTCCAGTCCCCTAATCATCTCTGTTGTTCTTCTCTGCACTCTTTCTAGAGTCTCCACATCTTTTGGGTTTAGTAATATATATTTTATATATGTAAATAACAACACACCTATCAGTCACCTGTATTCTTCAATGCAGAATCTAATCTAAAATTATCCAGTATTTATTCCTACTTTCCAGGGTCTTTAAGTAACAGTTTCAAAGCATCCATAGCCACGACTTATCCCCATTTCCAGGCGCTGGCTATAGGCCTATCAAAAAGCTCCTTGACACAATCTTTTCTTCCTTCGGGTCTCTCCCTTGGGGACAGGGTTTTACTGGCAAGCCTTTAGCAGCTTCAGGCAAAACTGAGATCATCATTCATTAACGGACCCAGTAGCAGTTCTGAACTTCTGCCTGACACGCAGCTGTCAGGAGCCTACTTGAGAGAAGGGCTAACAATTTGCAAGGAGTCTCAGGTGGCTATTCAACATCCTTGCCGTAACTTCCAGCCGCGGCAAGGCGCTCAAGGTAAAACAAGAAGTAGAGAGAAGAGGAATTATTGATCGCTGCTATGGACTTCATTCTCCCGTTGGCGCCTTAGCATCGCTCTCGGAAGAGGGGGAGGAAGAGGAGGTGGAAGGGGAAGAGAGGCAGCCCAAGTTCCGAGACAGCCCGGTCGGGCTCAAGCGCCTGCGCGCCCCTCCAGAGCCGCGCCGAGGGGCGCCGGGGGCCGGTCTGGGGCGGGTTCTGCGGGCGGGGACGGGCGAGGTGCGTAGGGCGCCACGTCGGCAAGCGCTGAAGAGGCAGCCGCCAAAGGGGTCGGAGTCGGGTTCGGGCTTGCCTGGTTGAGTCCTCCGCCGCGCTGAACCGAACGGCGCGGACATCCCCGCGAGGTGAGTTTGGAAGGTGGCCTCCTCGCCTCCAGCCTTCTCTGCGCTTTGCGCAGAAAATGCGGGGTGGAGTTGCCTGGGGCATCTTCTCCACCCCTTTCCTTCCGGGGTGGAAGAAGAAGAAGAAGAATGGGATTGAGGGGAGGATGAGGGGTGTCCGCCTGCCCCCCTCCGTGCTTGCCGAGGCCGGGGTCTCTCGCCTCTCTGGGGCTGCAAAGGTGGGAACGAGACGGGAAGGGGGCGCAGGTAGGGAGGTAGGCAAGGGAGCCCAAACGCCGCCCGTGCAAAATTGCCCCGAGAACTGTTCTGAGCGTGGAAGGAAGGGGCTTCCCGCTAGGTGCCATCCCGTAGCAAGGGAGGGGAACCGGAGAAGCATAGCAAAGACAAGGGGACCGAACTTGGTGTTGTGGGAAACGGAAAGCCTCCAACAAGGAGTTGTGTTTCTTCCCTGAGCTTCTCCGAGCAGCCTTGCGCTTCCCGAGGTTAGCGTCGCAGCGTTCGGTGAGAACAGTCTCCCGGGCGCAAATTTCCTCGGATTGCCGCTTTCCAGCTCCCCTTTAATGGCGTTGTCGGTAGGTCTTCACCGTTTTAGAGTCCACCAGCCTTCCCTGCAGAGCCAGTTTGGCTGTTGCTTTGATTGGAAAGCGAGGAGAGAGAAATGGGGGGGGGGGTGTGGAGGAAAAATAACGCAGCGTCTCTAGAGGGTTTTCTCCCCCTGGGGAGCAAGGCACACTCAGCGGTGCGGGTGCAAAAGGAGGTAAAAATAGATTACGCAGGAGAAAAGGCAAAAGTGTGGCCAGTATGTTCTGGCAGCGGATATTTAGATTGGAGGAAAAGAGAGGGGGGGGGGGTTTCAACGTGGAAGGGCCCGCGGGGAGGTGGGGAAAAGAAGCCCGGCTGCACGTCAACAGCAGTATGGCTCCGGGTACTGCGCCTGCCTCCTCTGCCACGTCACTGCTGCGTGCCATCCATCAGCCCTTTGTGTTTGCTGGGCTCCCATTTAGAGCCCTTTTGCGATGGGGAGGCTGCTGTTTACGCTTCTGTTCCCGAGTGTTTTTTCAGGCTTGATCCCGGTGGGGAACATTGTTATTACTCTCGGTGGAAAACAGGGTTGGGTATAATGCATGTCCGCAGATTGTCAAACAGCCCATTGGATGCTCTGAAAATTAATACTGCGCCTTCATTAGATAGTTTACTATATGCGTGTAAGTATATTTCTGCTTTTACAGGGCCGAAATTGTAAGGTTATTTAGGATGCAAGTCAACTTTTGCGTCCATAGTATGCCTTTTCAAAACTCTTCCAGGAAAATAAAATGCCTCAATTTTAAATTGAAATGGATGTGTTTGACAGAAAAGATTGGGAATTTTCTTCTTTAAAAGTACTCTGGAACCCCATGTTGCTGGGTAACAGCCACCCTGTATCATAAAGTTAAATTAGCAGCTAGGTAAAGCCTACAAAAAGATGAAATAAGGAATTCTCCAACCTCTTTGGGAACATTGCTTTCCCTTGTGGGAATGTTGAGGAATTTTAAAATGGTTCTTTGAATTAAGTCTGACAAATTTCTAAAGAAAAACAAAATGGCTTTCATTTTATATTTTAATAATATCTTTTCTAATTTCACTTTTCTAATTTCACTGATAAAATAGTGAAATGAAAAAAAATTGCATTGGACTCTTGGTATTGAATTTAAAACTGCTTTTCCAATCAAAGGGTCTTCATTGTATAATGCAGCTTTCTCCAACTTATGCCTAAAAATATCTTGGATTACAATTTCTGGAATTGCCATTCAACAATCACTGGTAATTATAAAGGTTGTAATTCAAAACATCTGGCTACCACCAAATTGGAAAAGGTGGTATAATGATAGCAGTAATGCTTTAATTGTCCCCAAATATCAGCTGCTATGACTGCAAACCTTCCCCCCCCCCCCCCCCGGAAGAAATGAAATGGCAATAGCACTTAGACTTATATACCACTTCACGTACTTTATAGACCTCTCTACGCGCTGTTTATAGAGTCAGCATATTTCCCCCAACAATCTGGATCCACATTTTATTGATCTTGGAAATGAGAATCTATCTTTTTTGAATATTCTATTTTAGTAAGAATGAACACAATAATAAGGATTCTAAAAATAATGATAGATCTGCAGATCTCTGCACAATAAAGAGTCAACCAGGTCTGAATCTGTTTTTCAGATTTTGTGGAAACTGAACATTAATTGAATTTGTTTATTACACAATCTAAACAGGAGTACTGTGGAGAATCTGGACAGCCATATAATTCTGAGCAAATATTTAAAATGTTTGTTTGCTGCTTTAAAAAAATGAAGCACTATAGAATGACATGCAGTGATTAAAACAATTAAAAATCATTATCTAGTATTTTGCTTAGAATATCATATTTTCATGAATCCAGAATCTTGATTCCCAAGCTAGTTCAATGGTGAGGGGTCCTTATTAGCAAGCTCAGAGAGAGCCAAGGACCCCTCATTTCTACTCTGAGCTACAAATATTCTCCTTTATCAGTAGTTCAATGGTTGCTGCAAATATTTTTCTGGAAGATATGCTCACCTTTCACATAATTTGAGTTGCAGATATTAGTCTGTGTTATATTTCTTGGATTTCTTGTACAGTAACATTTTGATAAATCATTTTTTAAAAACTATTACAAAATTTTAAGTATATACGTTTCTTTGATTTTATATAGAAAATCACATTGGGACATTTGAATACAGTAATATTTGGTAAGTATGGATACTGATAAAGTGTGTTTATTGTTTGTGTCTATTGAGAAAGCCTAAATCTTAGGAGTAAAGGACAAGGCAGAAAAAAAATGTTTCCAGAAATACCTTGGGGAAAATAACAACTTCCTCTCTACCTCATCCAGTTTAAAAATCAAGCTACTACGAGCATTCACATGTATGTTACATTCATACTGGATACTTTAAGGACATACAGGTAGTCCTCGACTTACAACAGTTCACTTAGTGATCATTCAAAGTTACAATGCCACTGAAAAAATGACGACCATTTCTCATACTTATGACTGTTGCAGCATCCCTACAGTCATGTGATTTACATTCAGATGCTTGACAACTGACTCACATTTATGACGGTTGCAGTGTCCCAGGGTCATGTGATCCCCTTTTGCAACCTTGGCAAAGTCAGTGGAGAAACCGGATTCACTTGACAACAATGTTATGAATTTAACAAATCAGGCAAGAAAAGTTGTAAAATGGGACAACATTCATTTAACAAATTTCTCGCTTAGCAACATAAATTTTGGGTTCAATTGTGGTCATAAACTGAGGACTACCTGTATTTTAGTTGGCATAGTTAGGAGTAATCTGTATAAAGGAGAACTGTATTTCAACTGTGGTATCAGATTACTTCAAACGTTTTGCTGCACAAAAAGAATATTCAAAGAATACAGTTAAAAGCGATTAAAAGATACAATACAGATATTTACAAAAAAAAAGAGATAAAACTCGAGTCATATATTTTATTTTTGCATAGTGTAATACTCATCCAATCTACGAATATGAAGACTTCTTTTGCAAAAGTTTGGATAGGAAACATCTAGAAATGAAAAATGAAACAAAATCATATTTTGGGTTTTATAGGTTACATTAATTTATTAGCTATCTAAGTCCAAAGGGTTTGGGCAATCTGAAGAGTTCATATTGTTGTTTCTTATTTATGCTACAAGATTTTTGTGTTATTGCAAACTATTAAACAACATTAATTCTTCCAAGACACTGTTATTTGCTATAATAAATAGGAATATTTAGCAAATTTTTTATAATTTGTTATTTGTAATTTCCATTGCATTATTGGGTTGCATAGCAATAATGAGATATATATTAAAGCATTGCACAGCTGCCTGTTTTTACAGTTACAGCAAAATGTCCCAAGGGGGAAGAAGCTTGTTCATTAAGCGTGTAGGCTAAAAATAGCAGCTGAACAACTGTCGCTAAAGGAACACATTATCAGATATCACATTGTCTAAGCTGTAGTTGTTGAATTGGCTCAGCAGTTTTTCTAGAAAATATACTATATTGCCAAAAGTATTCGCTCACCCATCCATATAATCGGAATCAGTTGTGAGCGAATACTTTTGGCAATATAGTGTATATCTTGTTAGATAGTGTGTTTTTGTTGAGTTAGTTTAATCTTTCAGGGGTGGTTGGGCAATTTAAAATTATTTTATAGTGGTAATGTTGTTTAATTAGAAGAAAACAAGATAGGAACTTGTCATTCTGAAACTATATGGCAAGTTATTATATAGGTATGTAAGTCACATGAAATATAATTTTGATTTATACATCAGTAGAAATGATTTTGAAACTATTCTAAGGACAGTTGGCTCCTTTCTAGATTTTAGAGTTCAGTGTTTAATTGACTCTTGGTTTTAAAAATCCAAAAGAAGCTTAAAAAAACACTTTCTTGTTTAGTTCTTGCTATCTTTTTACAGAAGGAAGAAATGTGTATAACTCTGTAAAAGACCTTTATAATGCTGTCTATTTAATTCTTCAGAGTATGTTAAAGAAAAACTCATGTTGAGACAGCAATGGGAAGCACATAAAACAATTCACCTGTTAGCATCAGCTAAATCATATGATCTTTTAAAATAGCTCAAAAAGCAAGGTATTGTGTTCTAATTTAAGGACAGGAAGTGGAAACTATTCTTATGTCCGGTTAACCTGTAGGCAGTATACAGTTATTCCTATTGAATTCTATTTTCCATGTTGAGAGTTATGTTAATACCACGTTACTTGGCGAAATTCCATATGATCTTGATAATCCTGAATAAGGTTGATGAAAGATTACTCCAGGGTAGTACTTCCCTCCTCAGCCTTAATGAATTGCCTCTGTAATCAGATGTTACTTAACAGCATTGCTTGTGCAATGCTTTCATGTGGCAATCTGATTTGTATAAGGATAGGCCATTTCAGATTTCTGGCATCTTTACTTTTCTATGAAATTGAAATTGAAATTTTCTAGGTTGAATAGTTGAGTCATATTTAGATGCAAATCCTTTTGTTATTTTAAAGTATCACATGGTTATTATAATAACTTTAATGATACATTATTCACTGAACCTATTTTCACCTTGATACTGAATTTATCATGCTGCTTTTAAATTTGACACAAATATGTCAAAGTCCTAATTCCAACGCCAACATTACTTCAGTATTCTTAATGGGCACATTTCAATTTATTGTGGTGACAGATTAATAAATGACATGATCGCAGTCTTAACTTTTTCATATTCTACTCACAATGCTCAAGTTAATTGAGGCTCAACTTTTCTCTAATTATTAAAATAACACAAGGGGTTGAGAATGAGGCTTAGCCTATTTGTTTTTCTTGTTTAAAAGAAAAAATAAATCCTAAATTTAGAACTTGTTAAATTATTACATAAGGACTTACTGTAAAAGATATTGATTCAAGCAGTTATATTTGTGGCCCAATTTACAGCTTTTCCCTATTGCAGCACAACTGAAAATACAGAATTATTATTTCCTTACTTCTACTAAGGAAGGCTTTAGGAAATTTTTCAACTGACAACCTGCTTGAAACAAGAATGCAAATTATCCTGACTCTGAATTAGATAATATTTTTCCTTTTTCAGATTAAAAGCTTATATCCTAGGACAGTGACAGCTAACCTTTTCGGTATCGAGTGCCAAAACGAGTGTGCGCATGTGCGTGCCGGAACACCAGAACCAGGATGAGAGCAGCTGGCCGGTGCGCATGCACACAGTGGCCAGCTGCTCTTCCAGGTTCCGTCATGCATATGCACGCCGGACTGCTGGTATTCTCGCCAGGGTGCATGTGGATGCCAGAACCCAGAAGAGAGCAGCTGGCGGTGGTGCTCGTGCCCACAGAGAGGGCTCTGTGTGCCGTCTCTGGCTCACGTGCCATAGGTTCACCATCAAGGTCCTAGGACCTGAAGGAAACTTTGGAAGTTGCATATTGTTACATAGCATAAGTGTCTCTAGTACAGTCATGGTGAATCTTTTGGGTTTGGTGTTCCAAAAATTCATAAAATGCATAACATGACTCTGCTGACATATCATATCCATATACACTAAACAACAGAGAAACAATTCCTTCCTCATTGGTGCCCTTGCACTGTTCCCCAGGATAAGCCATGTGCTGCTTACCTTCAGGCAATGTCCTCTTTCTGCTAACAGGCCCCTGCAGCCTACCCAGGACTTCTTCGAGTCTTCATTTTTGAAGCGGCTTCAGAGAATGCTCTTCTGCAGCCTCCGGAAACTCTGTGAAAGCATTTCCTTTTCTCACAGGATTTTTGGAGACTCCAGGGGCCACCCAAGAGCATATCCCATTTTTGTCCAGTCTCAGAAAATCACATGATAGCAAGATGTGCTTTTGAGAACAGTTGTTGGATGTTGGTGAATGTTGGTGTAAACACTGGTGTGTCATCCAAAACTTTATGGCATGTGAGATATGGGGTCTTATACATTCACCATCAATGCTCTACAACCGTGATGGCGAATCTATGGCACCTGTGCCACAGGTGGCACACAGCCATTTGTTAGGATACAAGAGGCATTGCCCTGTCAGATCCAGCATGCATGCGTGCACTGGTCTGCTGACTTCGGCCTTCATTTTTGGCCATTTTTCGCCCGAAAAACAACCCAACACGCAAACCAAAGGTTTGGGAAGGGAAATTCCGGTTTGCCTGTAGGGCTGTAGAGAAACCTCCTGAAGCCTCAGGAGGGCCTCCAAGGGAGGGGGAGGCCATCTTCGCCCTCCCCAGGCTCCTAGAAAACCTCTGGAGCATTGCACGCCAAAAGCGGGGGGGAGGGAGAGGGGTCATAGAAATATGGGTGTGGGCACACCCGCGCACAATCTCCCTGCACTCCTCCTCTTGGCATGCGATGGGAAAAAGATTAGCCATCACTGCTCTAGAATATTAATTCTTAACACCCATAATTTATGCGATGGTTGCAAATATCTATAGCTTGGATGTAGGATGAGGGTAGAAGTTCGTTCGCCGAACTTGTGGGTTGGTTTCCGCACATTTCATTACTAGATGTTACCTAGCCTGTTAACGTTCAGAAACCAACCCACAAGCTCACACAATGAACCTCCATCCTCATCCATAAAGTATTGTATTGTTGATTTGACTGCCATGGAAAACAGGTCCCAGCATATGCTTTCATTGACTTGCTAATGAGTAACTTTTCAAAAGAACATTGAAAAGAGCTGGACTAACCTAGAAACTATACATTTCTATATTTTCAGGCAATAATGAACCAGACAGAGAAGGATGAGCAAGATGTTCCTCCATATCTTAACAGTGAACCCCCAGAAGGTATATTTTACAATAACAGTGCTGTTTGCTCAAATATGATGCAGTAAATTGTTCTTTTCAAATTGTTATTCTATTCTCCATGAGCAGATTTTAATTTCATGATCAAAGCTGACTTAAATTCCAAACAAAATTACTTTTAAAGACATGTTTGTGGTATTTTGCTTGCTGCAGGATAATTTGGTCACCCAAGACCTTCAATCACTATTTCATGGCAACACACTAAAATTACTAGTCTGCTTTTCTCGTGATTAAATATCCAGCCAATAGTTAAAATAACCTAAGGTTATGCAGAATCTTGTTATATTAATATGTTGCTCTGCTAATATAGTGTCTTTTTAAAATAGCTTATGACGTGTGATATTGCTGCTAAGAAGGGAGCACTACTTTGAAAAGCTATGCAGCTTGGTTTGGAACCAAATGACTTGTTAATTTATAATTGCAAGTAGATGATTTACTTGCACAAATGAAACCTGTCCTATTCAGTCTTCCAAGGCAGTCTTGTTTTTTCCAGAATCTCTGCCACCATTGGCTTTCCATTCACATGGAGGGTAATTGTATACTTGCTTTCCATGCTCAGAGAATGGTTTTGTTATTGATTAAGAGAGATTAACACATAAGGTGGATACGTTTGTCAAATTATGTTTTCTTTCTTTCCTTTTGGATACATAGACTGTATGTGTATTGTGTGCACATATATACAGTAGTGGCCAAAATTGTGGACACCTTTTGGGGAAAATGTACAGTATTTTTGAGGTTTGATGTCTAATAATGCCACTTCGTTTTTGGAATAGTACCATAAAATTATATATCAATGGAAAGATAATTTAATCAAGAATGTAATGCAATAGGTTTTATGAAGGATTTGCTATTAGAATAGCAGTTATAAAGAAAAAAAGTGAAACACGTAGAAAAAATGTACACAAAAATTATCACCATTGAAAAAATGAGATATACAAAAATTATCACCATGTCAGTTAATACTTAGTTGGGTAACCTTTAGCATGAATTATTATGGCCTTACAATGAATTCCCATGGAGTGAACCAAATCTTTTAGTTCTTCAGCTGTTATAATGTGAAACCAAGATTGAATGATTGCTTCTATTATGGGTTTTGCTGGCTATATGGGGCTATAGCTTTTCATAGAATACAGATAATTGAACAAACCTTGTTGTATTACATTCTTGATTAAATTATCTTTCCATTGATATGTAATTTTATGGTACTATTCCCAAACAAAGTGGTGTTATTAGCCATCAAACCGCAAAAATACACTTTTTCCAAAAGGTTTCCACAATTTTGGCCACTACTGTACACATGCATGTTTCTAGCTATGCTGATTGTGATGGTCAATGTAGTTTAAATAATGTCTGAACAGAAAAAAGTATGTTTCATTAGAAAATATTCAATAGATGTGATTTTGTGAAAAATCAGCCTCTTTTGTTTAAATTGCAAGATAATATATTTTGTAAAGAGTCAGAAATTCAGATTTCTTAAATTTACCTCTAACTTTTGAAATAAATTGAACTACAAGTTCAATTATGAAACAGGAGTGATGAAGGAAGTGAATGAAGTGGGTTTTATCTACTATCCTGGGAAGGTGCTTGGTTCTATTAGTGCTATAAAGCATAATATGCTGACTTTTTCAACCCAGTAAGATGTAGAAAATGGTTATAATACTGTGTTCACCTTCTAGGAATAAATTTTAATATGATGTCAGGTATCTAAATGGTCCCTGACTGGAATTAACAAATGACAATATAATTTCCTGATGTATGAATATATTCATTGTGGAGTTCTGTTTTCTATGGGTGCATTACTTGGAACACTGACAAGCTAGATAATGATTTATAATTGCCATTTTATTGGTCAACATACCATAATTAAAACAATCCATTTCAAACTTATTTCAACCCAGCAAATGGTTCCTCTATTGATATCTCAAAAAAGCCCTGATTCTGCCCTGAAACGATTTTCTATCCTGTAATTAGTACACAAAAATGCTGAATCCCTTTATTAATAATGATGATAATTAAAGAACCAAAACCCATTCAGAACTTTCTTTTGCATTCTTAGAAAATATTGAGTCTTTGCTATTCCCCCTCAATGCTCTTCTGCTGGTGATATGTCATAGGAAAGAGTTGTTGTAGAGCAGGGTGTTAAATTCAAGGCCCGGGGACTGGATTCGGCCCATAAGGTGCTTAGATCTGGCCCGCGAGGCCACCCTGGAAACAGTGAAAGACTGGCCCATGCTCTGCTAGCAAAAACTGAGCTTGGGAGGGCTGCACACAGCTTTCCTGAGCTTCGTTTTTGTTGGCAGAGGGTTGCCAGAGGGTTGCAGGAGGCTGTTACAGCCGAAAACGGAGCTTGGGAGCCCATTTTTACTGGCACAGCGCTCAGGCTACCACAGACGCTCCCAACACAAGTGATGTTGAGCTGCCCCAGCCCCCAAGGTCAAACACAACCCTGATGCTGCCCTCAATGAAATCAAGTTTGACACCCCTGTTGTAGAGCAAAATTTTACTGGGATTTTTTTCCCCACCGCATTTAAACTAATTCTGAATACTGACACTGTTTCTCTTCTTTTAGATTCAGTAAAAGATCATCCGCAACAACAGCCTGGCATGCTCTCCCGGGTGACTGGCGGCCTCTTCAGCATAACCAAAGGAGCTGTCGGTGCCACAATTGGTGGCGTAGCATGGATAGGAGGGAAAAGCTTTGAAGTGACCAAAACAGCAGTAACAGCTGTGCCTTCCATGGGAGTAGGATTAGTTAAAGGAAGTGTTTCAGTTGTGACAGGAAGTGTTACAGCTGTAGGATCTGCTATCTCAAGCAAAGTGCCTTTAACTGGAAAGAAAAAGGATAAATCTGATTAAAGAAATTCAGTACTGTTTCGTTGAGGAACTTACATGGCTATGGGACTTACACAATTTGGAATACTGTAAGGTCACCATTCTGGAGGAATATCTAATGAACTGAAAGAATTAACTTTCTTCTGCAAGGAACATTAGCAGCCTGGTATCACAGAAACTTTAGATTTCTTCAGGAACTTGTCTGGTGAAATGTTACACTTGATTAAAAAAAAAGGAATCAAGTACATGGATCTGAAGGAATGGCTTACATTTGAACATTAATTCACTTTTCGAAATCTTGAATTAAAAATGTGAAAATAGAAGTGGAAGGAATGACTTGGCAAAAAGTTAAGCACTTCATGGTTCTGATGATAATAGCTCCCTTTAAAATAATTTCAGCATTAAAGTGCTTAAATATTAGCCTGATTATGCCCTTAATTGGTTGCCTCTGCCATACACAGATACATTGATGTTCTAGCTTCAAGCCTATGGTGTCTATATTTTTTGGAAAACAGTCCTTGAACTCCCTATAGAGTCCTTGTCTATCTTTGCTTTTTCAAACTATTTTTATAAACACTAAATTCTTTAGACGTCAACTGTCGCAAGGATGTGTTTGTGTGCGCACACGCATGTATATGTGTGTATAGTATATTGAGTCAAATCATGCCTTATGGTGAAAAACAATATTTTTTACTTAGAGAATCTTTTAAAGTTTTTGTAATGTCTGACATTTCAAAGCAGTCTGTAGGAGTACTACACTTTTTTTATCTGTTGATACTGTCAAAGAAAGACTGCTAAATCTCAGGTGTAGCGTACTGATGTTCTCACCTGCAAAATGAAAAGCCCTTTATGTTGTTAGGTTGCTTAACTGAAAATTAATTCCAAGTTTACATTAAGACAATATTGAGGTAACTTTTAGCTGTAAAATAAAATCATTTCTGTGGTTTCTAGCCTCAAGGTACAAATTTGTACAATCTTATTTCTAGAGTAATACAAATACAGCAATTGCTGTTGCTGTGTATAATCTGTTTACCTGAGTATCACCCATTATCGCTAGAAATTTTGTAGAGTTTGATGAATTATGCTTGATATTTTCAATGATTATTAACATAAAATATTTTCTACAAATAATACCTCAGCAGGTAGGTTTGCTGAATGGCACCCATGACCAATAATGATAGAAACAAGTGATTTGTAGAGAAATGTATTTCGTGCATACATTTTCAAAGTTTTCTGAGCAAGACACAGATATGTCTCTTCCTGTCTTGTTCCTAATCCCTAATAAATTAAATCAGGATTGGTAGTCCTTTGTGCTCAGTGGGCTATATCGTGGATTTATTGGATTGATATCTTTAGAATCTCTTTAGCATGTTTCTGTTGAATTTGTAGCTTTTTGGTAGTCCTTAAAAAAAGACTGAAGTTCACATGACTATTCTGTATGCAATTTTTATTTAAAATATGTGTTAAAAACACACAAACCTGGTTGGAATAGTTGTGATTATAAACAATGGATTAAAACACATAGTGTCTTGTAAAAGTAATGACCAAAAGCTGTCCCTTGTCTAAAATTACATATTCATAAATTAAATTAATCTGATATAATTTATTGTATTGCTGCAATTTGTATTTCAGCTGCCAAAGATCCATAGCTCAGTGATAAAAGCATATACTGTGCATGGAAAGGATTTATATTTAATTCTTGGCATTACTAGTTGAAAAGAATGATCAAAAATGTCCTGTTGGTATCAGACCAGAATTTGCTAGCTTGATGATAGCAACTTCATATGCTCACCAGAACATAAAGAATATTTTTGTCCCAAAGGCATAATTAAAACTTCAATTAAAAAAAACTTTATTGCAAGAGGTTTTCTCAATGATACTATATAAATTAGGAGTTTGTTTGTTAATAGTATTTAATTAGGTGACTGGATTAACAATGTGCCTAGATTAGAGAGTTTATCAGACAATCTTCATATTGGAAACCTTAGCTAGCATTTAGACATTTGTCATTTTACTACTCAACCAATTCCCTAATAAATGTGTATCTTAAAACATATATAAAAAGAATAAAATGTGTATGTGTTATTTTTAGAAACATACTAGAGCTTTGTGTTTTAAACACAGAATGGTTTGCATATGGAATGTATATTTATAGAAGGATTAACCACAGCGTAAAAATTGCAAACATATTGATGTACTAAGAACTGACATTTGATATTTCTTTGATGTTGACATTTAATGGGAAATGAAATCTTAAGGTAGTGTCTAGATTCATATGCTTAGAATACAGGGACGTGCAATCAGGGGAGGCAGGGCCTCACAACTATCATGATGAAAAGAAAAACAAAATTAAAAGGAAAAAGGCAGAGGTAGTTGCTGCCAGAGTCACAGTGGATGACTCTGGTTAGTGCTTAACTGCAGGGGGAGGCGAGAAACCACGTGCCTCCTTTACTCTAGCTTTATGATTACTTGAGCAGAGTTAAGCAAGGGTTAAAAGGCAAAAAAATCCTTATGCAAAGGAGGCACGTGGTTTCTCGCCTCCCCCTGCAGTTAAGCACTAACCAGAGTCATCCACTGTGACTCTGACAGCAACTACCTCTGCCTTTTTCCTTTTAATTTTGTTTTTCTTTTCATCATGACATTGGTGAGGCCCTGCCTCCCCTGCCTCCCCTGC